GTGCTTCCAGAGAAAACGAGGGAAGAGAGAGCAGGGAAAATTTGAGTATCAAGCTTTATTGGACAACATATTGAAAATAAAAATTTAAAAATATAAACCTGAAAGCCATTAGAGAGATCTTAAATGCAAATATCTATAGAGTTTAGAAATCTAAATCACTATGCCCCTAGTTAGTGCCCATAATGGATTATGGCGATCGTGGTCAAACATTTAGAGAACACCAAGGTGGGGAAGGCTGGCAAGTGTTAATAACAAACTCATTCTGGATTGAGAGCTAGTGAAGAGAAGCACCATTCACACAACAACATTGCTGATGTACTTGATCTTCTGATCAGTTCCTGAGATGGGATCTTTTTTTAATTATTATTACCACTCCCAGAATCTTGCACTATGGCCAGTGGCCATACCAGCTGGAAGTCTGTGAAGGTCATAGTCCAAGAAAGGGATATTTTCCCCTGCACTTCTTCTGATGTTTGAGGCAAGCTACAAGGGCAAATTGTCTCATGTTTGGTATGCTGAAGCCTCTGGCGACCTGTTTTTTTTTTTTTTAGAGCCAGTCTGTTACGCTGGATAGACTTCGGTTTATTCCAGCAGAGCTGGAAGGCCTGCTTCAAAACACATGTTCCTATGTGAATCGGCATCAGTCTTTAAAAACAGATTGTACCGTGATGTCAAAGGAGCAGCACTATGTGAATTAATGAATACATCTCAACTATCCAATTCCATTTTCTTGGCTTTGCCTAGATTAGAAGACAGATTTTAAAGTGGACGGAGAAGATGTCCAAGTTTCATTTTTTGAGAGGCATGGATAAATGCTTCTGCAGAGAAATAATAAGACATACCAGCTATTTAAATCAAACCTTTTGGGATTTCAAGGCAGATTGCTTACATTGTCTGAGCAGGTTCCATTATTCCGAATATTTTTATGCCTCATGACCAGCATCAATTTGAGGATTTCAGTCTACAAGTCGGCTTTTGAAATACTGGTCTCTGTAGAGGCATTGAAGTAATAATTGCCATCAGAAAGGAGCTTTTTCCATTGGGCGTATGTCTTGCTAGCAGATATCTGATTGCAACGTAATTATGGCCTAAATGTGGAAGAATCATCCTCGTCTGATTTGACATGAAAAGTTGACTCCTTTGTTTGACTCCATTCAGTCGGTGGAAGAGAGCTTGTAAATCAACCTACCTACCTTTTGAACTGCACAATGAGACACAAGAACAAGTTGCTTTGCTTAACGGCGTGCTGGATTTTATTTGCTTGTACAGCTAAGTTCAGGAAGGGCTGCAGGGCTGCAAGATGGTAAAAGTGAACAAGCATCTCTAAATATAAGGGTGTTTTGTTTTGGATTATTTTGGAAATACTGGACTGTAGGCTGAGCTGGTATAAGAGCATTCCATTTCCAGAACGAGCTGCAACATGCTGGATGCACCTAGTCCTCTCTGATTTTGGAAACTAGGCCAGGTTACACCTGGTGAGTAGTGGGATGGAAGGACAACAGTGAGTGCCATAGATCTGCAGGTGGAGCTAGAAAGGAATCCTGGTTGAAACGTTACAGGGTTGCTGTATTTTATCTAATATAAACACCACTCTGAGAACTCTAGCAAGAGTGTGATTTTAAAAATCCAGCAGTAAAGACAATTTCTGACACAGTGTTAACGAAGGCTTTGAGACAGAAGGATCTGGGCTCCAGTGTTGTGGCAAAAATCCAGCCACCGAAATTTGTCAGCAACCGGGACTGACTCTCTCACCTTTGAAAGCAAGCATTTTACTTACCTTGTTTGTTTGTTTGTTTTTTTGCACTGTTCGTGCACAAATGTAGTAACAAGCCATTGCAGTACATTTAAAGCCATCAAAACACTTGCTTTTAAAGGTGGATTTTCCCTACTGCTGTCCGATTTGGCTAGCATTTTGGGGAGTGTTCTGCTAATTTCTATCTATCTTACAAACTTTTTCTTTCTTTCTGGGAAAGATAGTGGTGTTATTTAGAAAAAAGGAAAAAATTAATATTTGAAACAGGAAACCTTCATAGGGTTCCTGTTGGACTTCCTCCCAAAACATACCCCTAGTTCTCTCAGCTCCCAGCTGTCAGTTTTAATTTCTTCCTGAGGTAGTATTGTACAAGAAGGACTTCTTGTGTGGCAGGTGGCCAGTGGCATGGATAATGGGACAGGGAGATAGTTGGTGCCAGAAATATACCACCTGGACAGCCAAAAGCTGGAATGCCCCATCTGGTAGAGAGAATTTTGCCCCATGTTGTGAAACAAATCCTTCCCTTGTGAATTTCTAATAACGTATTTCCGAGTGCTAATGATCTGTTATAATGCCACCAGTTAACATTATCTCTGAAAAGGAAATGTTGATTGAATCGTAGAATCATGAAGTTGGAAGGGGCGTAAAAGGCCATTGACTCGGACCCGCTGCTTGATGCAGGAATGCAGATCAAAGGATATTTGCCTAAATTCCTCTTAAATGCCTCCAGTGTTGGAACACTCACAACTTCTTGAGGTCATTGATTACATTGTCGTACTGCTCTAACAGGAAGTTTTTTCTGATATTCAACTGAAATCTGGCGTCGTGTAACTTGATCCTGTTGTTGCATGTCCTGCACTCTGGGATGAGTGAGAACAGATCTTGCCCCTCCTCTGGATGACTAGTGCCTCGCTTAACGACGATAATCCATTCCAGGAAAATCGCCGTTAAGCGAAAACATCGTAAAGCGAAAATAAAAACCCAATTGAAACGCATTGAAACCCATTCAGTGCGTTCCAATGGGGTAAAAACTCACCGTCCAGCGAAGATCCTCCATACGGTGGCCATTTTCGCTGCCTGTATAGCGAGGAATCCGTCCCTAAACACAGCGGGGAGCCATTTTAATCACCTGGTGGCCATTTTGAATCCGCTGATCAGCTGTTCGAAAAATGTCATTTTGCGAAGAATCGGTTCCCGAAGCAGGGAACCGATCATCGCAAAGCTAAATTCCCCCATTCAGACCATCATTTTGTGATCACAATTGCGATTGCAAAAAGATTGTCGTTAAGCGGTTTCATCATAATGTGGGGCAATCGTAAAGCGAGGCATCACTGTATTTGAAAAGTGCTATCCTATTATCCCTTTGGTCTTCTTTTCTCAAGGCTAAACCTGCCCAGTTCTTTCAGTGTTTCCCACTAGGGCTTTGTTTCCAGCCCCTTGATCATCCTTGTTACCCTCCTCTGATCTTGTTCCAATTTGTTAGCATCCTTCTTGAAGTGTGATGTCTGGAGTTGGATACAATACTGAAGATGAGGCCTAACCAGTGCTGAATAGAGGGGAACTAGCCTGTTTCCCCAAAAATAAAATCTAACTTGAAAATAAGCCCTTACATGATTTTTCAGGATGCTCGTAATGTAAGCCTGACCCCAAAAATAAGCCCCAGTGAAGTGAACCGTCGCCTTCTACCCTTGTGCAGCAACCAACCAGATGACATGACTGTATTTGAATAAATGTAGATTGTTGTACATGAAAAAAATAAAACATCCTCTGAAAATATGCCCTAATGCATTTTTAGAGCAAAAATTAATAAAAGAACATGTCTTATTTTCGGGGAAACATGGTAGTACCTCTTGAATGAGATTTGGAAACTATACTTCTGTTAAAGCAGCCTAAAATAGTGTTTGCCTTTTTTGTAGCCACATCACACTGTTGGCTCATATTTCGCCTGTGATCTGTGACAATTCCAAGATCCTTCTTGCTCATAATATTGTCGAGCCAGGTTTCCACCGTCTTACAACTGTGTGTTTGGTTTGTTTTTCCGAGGTGCAGTACTTTGCGCTTGGCCCTGTTGAATTTCATTCTGTTGTTTTCAGCCCGGTGCTCAAACTTAACTAGATCATTTTGAATTTAGTTTCTGTCTTCCAAGGGTATGAGCTCTTCCACCCAATTTTGTGTCATCTGCAAATTTGATTAGTGGTCCCTGCATGACCTGACCCAGGTCAGATTTTGGAATACCACAGAATACCAGCTTCTGTGATGGATGCTCAAATCTTCACATAGACTTAAAGCTTTGTTGAGTGAGGATGGATCTGTCATCATGTCTGAAGTCAAATGTCTCAGCATGAAAGTGAGATTTTACTATTGGCAGGTGGGTTTGAGAAAGGATGTAGTTTGCTCCAGATTGTTTGAAAGGATGGCAACTTACAGGGTGGATAAAGATCAAAGATTTTTTTTAAAAAATCCTATTGATTTAAATCACAATTTACCATTTTAAAATGTTTTTAAATTTAAATAAAAATGATTTTAAAAATTCAATTCATTTTTTAAAAATCTGATTTTTTTTCTCATTCAAATAAATAAAATTTATTTATTTATTTATTTAAAATATTTTTACCCTGCCTTGGGTCCTTTTAAGGAGAAAGGCATGGGGGGAAATTAAATAAATAATTTAAATCAATTTAACTCAAATTTGATTGAAATTCAATCCACCCCGGTTGGGTTATAAGTAAACTTCAAAGATGGAGCTGCATCTGTGCACAATGGGCTTTGTAGCCCCAAAAGGCAGCTACGAAGCGTCGTTGGTATTTGCAGATGATCACAAAAAATAGAATCACTTATGCAAATATTTGCACGATTGTTTGTTTTGCATAATATGAACGTCAGTGGTGTTCTTTTTGGATGTTACAATGCAGATCTTAAGGTTCAGGATTTGCACCCTTTTGTTTATTTCCATAAAACTCCAGACACATGAAACACACACACACACACACACATAGAGAGAGAGAGAGAGAGAGAGAGAGAGAGAATACTCTTACATTCTCTAGATGGAAATACAGTATAAGTGTTTATTGAATCCACATTTTAAAAGTGGATTGGTTGACCGTGGAAAAGTGACTGGAAAAGTTTTCCGAACTTTGGAATACACTCCACCTCACCTGGTTCTGTGACTAGTGGCTGGAAGAATTTCTAGGAGACTGACGGTTCTTTTTTTATTTTTAAACATGTCTCCTCTCATTCTTGATTCTAGCCTGTAGCTGGTGTTGTGGAAGATGTCCAACAATGGACTAGAAGCCGAAGACAAGCCGCCTGCCCCTCCGATGAGAAACACGAGTACCATGATTAGCACCAGCAGCAAAGACGTGGGAGCCTTAAACCACGGCTCTAAGCCTTTGCCTCCCAACCCGGAAGAGAAGAAAAAGAGGGACCGCTTCTACCGTTCCATCTTGCCCGGCGACAAAAGTACATTTTGCTCTTTTTTTCCCTTGCAAACTGTTTTGAAAGATGGTTGCCAAAGGCAGGGAAACTGAGGTCTGAGAAGCTGTGGGTGAACTGGTATTTTGATCATTTTTTACCAATAGCCATGCTGACTTGTTAAATTTAATTTAATTTGAAACATTTTTTACTCTGTCTTTCTCCTTAAAAAGTACTCAAGGTGGCTTACATTATCAAGATAATAGTTAAAGCAAAAACACTTGAGTGTATAAATACTAAAAAAAACAAAGAAATACTTAAAAAAGTTGCTGTTGTTGTTGTTTGGTCGTTAAGTTGTGTCTGACTCTTTGTGACCCCATGGACCAGAGCACGCCAGGCCCTCCTGTCTTCCACTGCCTCCCAGAGTTGGGTCAAATTCATGTTGGTCGCTTCGATGACACTGTCCAGCCATCTCGTCTTCTGTCATCCCCTTCTCCTCTTGCTTTCACACTTTCCTAACATCAGGGTCTTTTCCAGGGAGTCTTCTTTTTCATGAGATGGCCAAAGTATTGGAGCCTCAGCTTCAGGATCTGTCCTTCCAGTGAGCAGTCAGGGTTGATTTCCTTTAGAATTGATAGGTTAGTTCTCCTTGCAGTCCAGGGGACTCTCGAGAGTCTCCTCCAGCACCACAATTCAAAGGCATCAATTCTTTGGCAGTCAGCCTTCTTTATGGTCCAGCTCTCACTTCCATACATCACTACCTGAAAAACCATAGCTTTGACGATGCACACCTTTGTCGGCAAGGTGATATCGCTGCTTTTTAAGATGCTGTCTAGGTTTGTCATTGCTTTCCTCCCGAGAAGAAGGCATCTTTTAATTTCGTGGCTGCTGTCCCCATCTGCAGTGATCATGGAACCCAAGAAAGGAAAATCTGTCACTGCCTCCACATCTTCCCCTTTTATTTGCCAGGAGGCGATGGGACCAGTGGCCATGATCTTAGTTTTTTTGAAGTTGAGTTGCTTTTCTTTACTAAAAATAGGAAAGAAAAGCAACTCCAAAAACTCATTCAAAACACTAAGGCACAACTGTCCATTAAAAAACCCCACTCAGGCAGGCAGCCACTCCGGAAAAGCTTGCCTGAATAGAAAGGTATTTGCCTGCTTTTGGATGGACAGCAAAGATGGGGCCAGGCTGGCCTCCAGTGGGAGGGAGTTCCACAGTCTGGGAGCAGTGACAGAGAAGGCTTGTGCTGGAGAGAGTGGAAGCCAATCAACATAGAGAGGCATTCAGATTTCCCAGCATTAGGTAAAAAGCAGAAACAGGAAAAGGCAAATTTTTGGATCCAAAACAGAAAATACCGTAGCCAACATGGCCACAGGCTGGTGTTTCCATAGTTGCTGTTGGAATGGCTTCTCCTAGTGTTGTAAGACAATTTTTCACAACCATCTTCTGAGCCAGCCTTCCCTCCAACCTGCTGCTCTCCAGATGTTTTGAACTTCCAGCCCGTATCCGTTCCGAGCCAGCATGGCTGATGATCAGTTGAAGTCCAGAAAATCTTGAGGGACAGTTTGCAGAAGGCCTCTCTCTGCAGCCTATAAGTAAACAAATCATCCGTATAGTGCAGCCTTGTTTAAAAAAAGGTTTTTAAAAAACCACTAATGTTTACTAGTGGTTTGGTGTTTTGCTTTCTTTCTTTCTTTTTTAAAAAATCATTAGCCTTCTTAATTAGAGGGTAGCTATGTGCATTTTAATTCTGATTGTAGAACCGGACGAAACGCTTCCTTCCTCTGTGGCTAACATGGAGATACAAGCCATTAAGTCTTTTTGCATGCAAGTTTTTTTTTAAAAGCCTCACACCAAGGAAACGGGTGCATGAACGATGCATTATTGGTATTTCAATAGGATTTGAGAGGAAGGGGTCTTTCCTAGCACAGCGTGATATTTGCTTTCTTCAGCGGCCAATTCGTTGACCGTTCATTCCTGGTCATCTCTGGCTACCACATGACTCATTTAATACGAGGCTGTTACCCAAAAAAATAGTGCACCCTAAAGAGCAGTGGTTCCCAATCTTGGGTCCCGCTGTTGGGTTGGATTAAAACCCGCAGAAGCCTTCACCACTGGAGGACATTTGAGGATCAGGGTTGAGAAGCACTGATCTAGAGAGAGGGGGCGTGGAATTTCAGGCCCTTGGACCCAGCCCACTGGGACTGATCTAGAGAGAGGGGGTGTGGAATTTCAGGCCCTTGGACCCAATACAGCCCACTGGGGTTTCCAGATGGCTACAGTCCATTCTGTATGACTTTCCACAGTTTGTACAGTTGTTTTCTCATGATGACGTGCCCAAATGTCTTTCTTCACAAATGGTCAGCTCCATCATCTGCCCCTGGTCTATAAAGCAAAACATGCTGGTTATATACAGTGGTGCCTCGCACAACGAGTGCCCCGTAGAGCGATGAATTGGCTCTACGGGGATGTTTTTTCGATCGCTAATGCAATCGCAGAGCGACGGCCCCAATGGGCGAAAATTGCAGAGCGAAGGTCGGTAAGCGGTTCGCTTACCAACCTTCGCTTTGCGACCCGCCGATCAGCTGTTCCGCGGCTTCAAAATGGCCGCCGGAAGCCGCAAAATGGCCGCGCGCAGCGTTTTCACGCCCTCGTTAAGCGAGGGGAGGGCATGAAAATGGCTGCCGGCCATAGAGGAACATCGCTGAACGGTGAGTAAAGGAGCCTTTTGGAACGCATTAAACACTGTTTAATGCGTTCCAATGGGCTTTTCTGCCCCGCTCAGTGATGTTTTCACACAGCGAGGGTTAATCCGGAATGGATTAACCTCGCTGTGCGAGGCACCACTGTACTGTACTGGCCTATAGTGCTTCAGGCACTTTCTGGACAGTTTACAAGTTAATGATGCAGGCTACACCTTGCCCTCCTCCCCCCAGCGAGCTGGGTACTCATTTTACCGACTTTGGAAGGATAGAAGGCTGAGTCAACCTTGAGGTGGCTACTTGGGATTTGAACCCCGGGTTGTGAGCAGAGTTTTGGCTGCAGTACAGCAGTTTTAACCACTGCGCCACGAGGCTCCTATAAACCCCTAAAGGACCTTTCAGAAATCGAATTAAACTCTTGATCTGAAAGAAGTTCCTGACCCGTGATACAGGTTTTCCGGAGATATGCATGGCCAAAGTAAACCCCCTTGATTTTTTGGGGTGGTGAGGGAAGATATAAATCAAATCAATAAAGATATCAAATATTGGGTAATGTTTATGCTAGTGGAAACATAACTTTCTAATGTAATCTCCTAATATGAAGTATTCTTTCCAAGAATATGAATGGTTGTTGGAAAGTTTGCAAACCTTTTGCTAGGTAACCCGAGAGACCAGGAAATCAATAGCAGAAAATATAGTCATATCAGAACTTTACTGCTGAGAATTCCAAGGCCGTCAGAACAGCAGTATTATAATGCTACAGTAAATGCAAGTGCTTTGGGCTAGTGAAAACCATATTGTCTGAGATGGGGGCATATTGCTTTCCTCACTCTCACGAGATTCAGTCAGAATGGCCGCACCTTTAGGACTAGAAAATTAGGATGGGTGGGGAAATCTAAGGTGCTTGTAATGCTAAAATTTGCATTTGGTATCAGTTTCAACACACGCTTGGCACAGCTGTTGACTGTAAAATCCTGGTGGTGGTGGCTTTAAAGTTCCATGGTTTCCCTTATCAGTTGGCTCCCATTAGAGCAGCAAGAAAAAATTCTTGCATGCTGGAAGCTAACGCTGATGATGGAATAAGGGGATGGAGGAGTATGCAAAGAAGGGAGATTTTCAGAAGCCTGGGGTATATAGTGGATATAATCCAGAGCCTGAGTAATAGATGTGGTGTCTTTCTCTTTCTGGTGCTTCAGCTGAAAGCAGCTGTGTTTCCTCTGTAGGCAATTACCCAAGTGTTGGATTTTAAAAAAATGCATTAGACTGCTCCATTTATTTAAATACAGATGGGGAAAGAGAGAAAAGGAGCTTTCAGCCCCATGAATGTCCACATACTTTCATGTATTTCTTCTGGACACAGCCGTTGCCAGTTTCTGAATCCGGGAGGAAACAAAAATGTTAAGCGTTACTATCGGAAATCTTCCATTTTTGAACTAGTTCCTATATCAGAGGTGCTGGTATAGGACCCAAATACATGCTGGCTGGATGTACTAGATTCGGAGGGGTTTGTGTGTCGTCTGTCTTGATGACAGATGGCCACGAAGGGACTTGAGCTTTATCCACAATACACTCATTTCCTCTTCTCTTCGTTGTGTGTGTCTCAACCAGACAGGGACGTCATCCTGTGTGGCCCTAGGATGCTGCCGGGCCTTGGCAACAGACCGTTATGCTCACACACTTTGTTGAGGGAAGGACGAGAAGGGTTTGTTCTCCGTCTTTATGGTCCACAACCACCAGAAGACAGGGAGACGAGAACTTTTAAGCTTTGCTCCCGCACTAGATCATGGCGAGAATCGGACCGGTGATTGTTGCTTCTGTAAGGGAAGTGGTATGAAGGCATTCTGGCTCAGTGAAGTGGGTACTGGTTGCTGACCGAGAGATCCGGAGTTTGATTCCTTACTGTGCTTCCTGGGAGAGCAGCCAACCTATGTAGCCCTGGGCGATCCACGCAGTCCTGGAGAACCCCTAGAAGGGAACAATAAACAACTTTTGGGTAGAGTGGTGCCTCGCTTAACGACGTTAATTCGTTTCGGTGAAATCGCTGTAGAGAGAAAACGTCGTAAAGCGAAATAAAAAATCCCATTGAAAACATATTAAAACCCGGTTAATGCATTCCAGTGGGCTAAAAACTCACAGTCCAGCGAAGATCCTCCATACGGCGGCCA